TTTGATCCGTTGAAAATCTATTTGTACGAATTTCTCGTGTTTATTAATTTAATAATACGAAATTTTGCGTTACAGATACGTATAATATAATTAAATTAGAGAAATTTACAACCCCACGAGCGGATCTCTAACTTGAGCGTTTGAGGTTTTTCTGTTGAGACTCTTCAAAGCGTATTTTGCAAGTCATCAGATCTTGAGTTCAAAGACGATTTATGACATCATTGGTCTAATTCATGTCTAGAAATAATTTACACATCCAGTTGGCGTCGTCTGTGGAAAATTCCAGTCTTCCACCGTTGGCATATGACTTATTATTTCCCAATAACTAGAGGCAATAACAATTTCATGGCTAAAGAAAGTTCATTAAAGAACCTGCTTAAGGATATAGAGAGGAAGCTTGGGCATGGTGATTCTATATTGGAATGGGGTCATCGTCTGGTTGGTCGAAGAAGAACAGTGCTTAGGCCACGTCAAATGTAAGCTTGCCCGGGCCGCATAGTAGTATTGACCCCAACGGCGAATCCTATGGCACAATCTGCTATTAGGTAGAGGCCACCCACTACACCACATGAGATGCCAAGGGAGAAAAATCTTGAGCTTAGGTCGTCGTACGAGGTACAAGCTCTCTAGAATTGACCGAAGAGGATCGAGTTAAAGTGTTGGGGTCGTCTGACATCGAAAGAAAGGCAAAGGGACACAAAAGAATCACGGCGGATAGGAGGTCCATAAAGGAGAACAAGTTGTCCAACTCCTAAAGCCAGAGTTAGAAGAGAATTATAGATGAAACAGTAACTAATAAGGGAATGTTGTCCAATCATATGGACTAGCATTTGTGGTCAATAGAAGAACTATGAGGGGAAGACCAGATCCACGACCCCCTGAGCGTAGAATCAAGGCCAGCTAAGGATGCCAACTTGGAAAGAATAGTAGACCCGTTACATGAGTTGTAAGCAAGAGTGGAGGGAAGGTCATGAACATCTAGGATCCACATGGACATCCATTTGTTGAGGAGGTGCTAGAGGTATATGATCTCCTATTCAATTTACGTAAGCTTAGCTTTACCTATGACGGGTCAAGTGATCCAGCAAGGCACCTGAGGAGCTTCGAGAACATAGTGGTGTTGCACTGTTATAGTGATGTAGTTTGTTGTAGAGCATTCCTAGTGACCTTGAAGGGTTCGATACAAGATTGGTTCCATCACTTGATGGATGGATCATCTACAATTTTTCAATGTTTAACTTGTAGTACATCAATCAATTCTGTAGCACGAGAAAGCACGAAAAGACCTATATAAATTTAATCAATATGTAACACAAAGAGAGAGAGAGAGAGAGAGAGAGAGAGAGAGAGAGAGACTCTAGGAGCATGTAGCTAGATTCACTAGGGAGGCCTAACCAGAGGTCTTCAACTCGAATCACGTCATAATTCTCTGGTTAAGAGGCCAGTGAGATCGTATGGTGAGCTTTTATCACGTTGTGCAAAGTACATCAACTTGGAGAAGACTAAGGCAGATGTCTTGCAGAACGACAAAGTCAATGTTAAACGCCCAGAGAAAAAACAATGACCAGATGACAAGAGGTAGTCAGGTCGAGAGTTGACAAGTAAGAAAGAGGAAAGGCTAGTAATCGTTATGGGTAGTAAAGGAAGTATTCTAAGCGTTGAAAAAAATAAATGATATGGAGATTTTTTAGAGACCTACCTCTCTCACCAAGATACGAGGGTATGTCCCTACTCGTAACGACCTATATTGTCGGTATTGCCAAGATTATGAGTATTCTACCACCAATTGTCGCGAGCTAAAAGACGACATAGAGCGCCTAATACGAGCAGAACACCTTAAAGGGGTCATCCTTATTGGAGTATCACTTGTGAGTTGTCCAACCTTGAATTTATAGGAAAATTGAGCCTAGCTTATATACCTAGAGGACTACTCCTCCCATTACTAATTGGTTTTGAGATGGAACCTCACTATAGTACACTTAGGCCCACCCTCTTATGTTGCGATTTATAGCGTGGGATTGCACCTTCTTGCCCCGATTCTCTAAATCTCATATGGTATTAGAGTCAGGACAACTCCGACCTGGGACTCTATCTCTACCCGACCTGCTCAGGGGTTGGGCTTACTCTCTACCCAGCCTCCTCCGGGCTTGGGCTTACGAAGGACTCATAGGTGAAGGGGCGTATTGGATTATCACTTGTGGGATACCTACATTGATTCGATAGGGAAATTGAGCCTAGCTTATATACCTACTGGGCTATTCCTTTCATCATCAATTGGTTTTGGAATGGAACCCCACTATATGCCGCACCTAGGTCCACCCTTTTATAGTGTACTTTATTTGCGTGGGATTGCACCCTCTTACCTCGATTATCTAAGTCTCACATAAAGGACAAGGTGAAGATAGATGAAAAGGAAGGTAAAAAAAAAAAAAATGAGGCGATATGGCGAGCAGGGCGAAAGGCCGGAAAAACGTAGAGTTATCCACATGATCGCAGGAGGTCCAACGGATCTAGGAATCCAACAATTCAAGCAAAAAGCGACATCAAAGTGAGGTAGAAGTCGTTGAGGTGTGGATCGAGCAACCGGAGGTCACCCTGCACCTTGCGGTGGAAGATGTGAAGGGTATCTCCACCCTTCCAGCGTATTTTGCCGGTCATCGAAGTTAGAGTACTGTTTAGAGACAGTTCCAGACATCACTAGTCTAATGAGTAATGCCACTGTAGAGACCATTTACATGTCAAAGTCAATCCGCTCCTACTCATTCTGGATTTAATATTACCAGAACTATTTCAGTAATTTTAATGTGTCATAATCTGGATTAAACAAATTATGTTTTTGATCCTATTGGAAATTTGAAACCCGCGATGGGGACACGCCCATTTAACCATATCAACGGTCACGATCGCCTCAAAAGCTTGCAAAAATCACTAGTAAATTCTCGATCATCCGTTCACATAGAAAGACATAGCGAATCAGACAATACATAGTGCGATCGAGTTCATCCGATTAATAATTAAAGCCTCCTTTTTATATATGGTACATTGACGGTCTATATCAATTGGTTTTACACTATTTTTAATTAAAAATATATTATTGTAAGACAATTTAATTGTTTGAAAGATAGTACTATTTAATATTTTATACATTTATATTTTTTCAACAAATTTTCAAGCTTTCGAACGCATCACATCTTATATTATGGCTATCTTATATCATGGGGAAATGCTACAGTTCCATTACGAAACCATTTCGTCGGGATTTGTAACCGTTAGATCATCATGTAACCGTCGGGGATAGTTGAATAGACGATTACAAACTTCGACGGAATGGTTCCGCAATGGGACCCTAGCATCTCCCTATATTATGACCATGCAATTTTTTTAATAAAAAAAATGTGAGCAATTCAAGGGTTAGTCACACAAGAATTTAAAAAAAAATAATAATAATAATTATAATGTGATGAGTTTTAACTTTTGTTTATATATTAGTTTATATAAATCATGACATCTTAATATGAAGTAAAACTTATATGTTCGAATATATATTATTTGTGCACTTGAGGGAGCTTTTTTGAACATATTCAAATACCACATGATCAATTATTAGTTAGGTCTCTTTGAAAGTATCCAATTGAAATTACAATCATCGCCCCCCGAAGCATTAATTTTGCTTTTTCATATGCATAATAATGCTCGATAATGTCAACTGACGCACAATGAAAGTATCCTATGAAAAATAGAATCATAATCAGATATTTTTGAACCCGAGACCGGCCCGGCGGGTCGACCTGGAATCGGAACCGAGCCGGGTTGGCTATTCGGACCGGGCAATAAAAGACCCGGTCAAAACCCGGGCGGTCACTATATATATATTTATCATGAAATACATATTATTAATATTTTGATGTACAAATTTTATATACAAAATATTTAATTTTGTTACTTTTATGTATATTTATATAACAAAATACTCTATATATAATTTAAAAAATTTTAAAATTAATTATCCGGTTCATCTAATTGACCGAAGACCTCGACGATTCTGGGGCCGGGTTTAAAAACTATGTACCATACTATTAGGAGCTCATTTATTACGAGTGACTAAAATTGTTTTTTTCCTCATCTTGCTAAATTGATAGTGAAGGGTGCATCCTTTATCTAAACTAGTGGAGAATGTTGAATATAAGTATTTTTGGTCCAACTTTTTTATTTGCACGACGGTTGATTGTCAAAGAAAGTTTCTCTAGACAAAATAAATAAATTAAAAATAAAGTAACAAAAATGAGAAATTGGAATTTTCTTCCCTTTAATCTCTTAGATGTTTTTTTAAAAAAGATAAACACAAAAATTTTCAACTTGGTAACTTAATTCTGATTCACAAAGTTTTGTGTGAGCTTGCCTAACTGTTAGACCGTCGTTCCATCCTACTTTTCAACTAAAAAAACATGCTTATACATTTTTTTTTTTTTCGAAACGATAGAATTTCATAAAACGGAAAACACGTAATTACAATAGCAAAAAACTAGAATAGCCAAATAACCACAGCTGAATCCAAGAGGCCTACACGAATGTAGCCTAGAGCAACTACACTAACACACCTAACAAACTATACAACTCCCCACAAACTATACAGCTTATACAGTTATACTTGAAACATGTTAGTCTTTGTGTTTTCACTCTGTATGAGAACGAACATGTAATAAAAGGTCAAACAAAAGGTCAAACAAAGGAAGCTCAGACGATAATGTTGGGAGGAACTGAAGCACAGAGATTTGTTAATAATTATAAATAATTGGGAGTTATATATACACAATATGACAATAAGAACCTGGTAAATGCAAGAGGAATAAAAAGACAAATTTAATTTAGAGAAAAGAAAAAAAAAAAAAAAATGAAGAGATGATAAGGAAGAGGACAAAGAGCCAAAAATGTAAGGGTGGTTTTGCTAATATTGTGTGCTCAAACGGAGACACCCTTACACAAAATCCTCACTTTTTAACCTAAACTTGAGAAGAAGGCGAAAATGCCCCTTCCGATCTTCGTGCAGCCTGACCGGAAACCGACGACTTATCCGAACCACGCACATTGTACTTCTCATACACTCTCTCTCGGTTTTCTGACCACCAAGTCTCCGCTTGGTGTTCCCCAAATCTTCGTCGACTAACAAATATTAAAAAAATAATAATTGATACCCATTATATACGTAAACTACTTTTACAAAATGCACCTGTAGATGGAAATTATCGAGAAGTACCTGAACCGTACGCGTTTGAGATCTCTCGTTCCATCACTGAGAGCCACGAGAGTTATATACACACCCGGTTCGTATTGTTCGATCCATTCAGCCTCAATCTGGCTGGCATTGCTTGGGACCACCACTGTATTTCTCGATTTTGAGCTGGCGTCACTATCCCGATATGAAATGGACTCTTTGGACTCGATGTTTTCTGACATGCTGTCCCCATGAGCCTGGCCATGTCTGCCCCCACCTTTGGGAATTAAGGAATCATCGCCGAGCAGTTCTGATGGGCCCCGAGCTCTGTCCAGCATACTCGAATCAGCTCCAGAGTAGGAATTGTTTGGTGCATCCGCTCTTGAATTGGTTTCTCCATTTGCGCCCGTATTGTGGGTGGTGCCTCTTGGTTCGCATCCGTTCGGAAGGTAATTTAGCTTCAGGCTGTCGGGATCGTATGCCCCGGGTGGCAACCTCTCAGCCATATCTTTTACCTGGAATATAATGAGAAAAATTTGTTCGGTAACGTGATCTTAAAAAAACCACTTTTCAATAATTCATCACTCAAAAGATGCTACCGGATGACTTGTTTTTTTTTTTAATTTATTTTTCTTAGAATTTGAAAACCGCTAGTTATGTATATGCATAAAGACGAACATGGAAATTTGAAACTGGAAAAACTAACCTGCGCAGTAAGTGACTTAATCACTTCTTTGGCAGCTTTGCATTTAGCAGATTCCTCGGCAGCCACCGCCATTGCTTCCTGGGTATTTTTAGCCGATTGCTGGAGCTCCAGTTCTTGCAGTTCGCATTTGCTCTTAAGGTTTTCAACCTATAAAAAAAAACCCAAAATCACAACTATCAGAACACTGTAACTTTTATATAACCTATACACAACTAGAACGAATTGAAAAGGAAAGAACTTCAACAAAGTATAAACTATAAAATACCTGAACCCGCAACTTATGCACTTCTTGGTTCAGAACCTCATTCGTCTTCCTCAAACTATCCGAAATGCTTTTCGCAAAGGAAAGGCCCGAAGTTGTCGGCACCGGCGTAGCCGACCTCGGTGGACTTGGCTTTCTCGAGAAGGGCGAAACGGACCTCGAGCTCACGCTCGATGGCGCAGCTATCGGCTTCGGCACAACATTCCTAACCGCCGCTGACATAACAGCCTCCCTTCCCAGCTGGAGCAGGGACACCTGTGATGACCTGGCCAACGAAAACGTGTCCCCCTTCTTTCCCTGCCTGCCCGCCTTGCTGTCCAGCTGCTTTATCAGCTCAGAATTGGATGTTGCCACGCCCGACTTCTGGACCAGCCGCAGATCGGCCTTGTCCAGCCTGTCCTTGTTTTCGCCGGAGAGCCGAGGCCCGGACGAGTTCCTCCGGCTGTGGACCACCACGCCCTCAGCCACCTTGGCCAGCTTTGCATAGCAAGGGTCACACACCCGGTGCGGCTTGCCCGGGTCCGGCGCCAGCGCTGCCCGCACAGCTTTCCGCGAACTGCACGCGTGGCAGTGGACGAGCCCGCAGTTGTAGCAGTTGTGCCTCTTCCTCGTGAACCCGAACGCCTGCCGGCAGGCTGAGCACTGGGACTGCTCGGCCCCAGAGACCCACTTGTGAACACATATAGCCGACGTGTAGTTCGATCCACAAGCTATGGACTTGACGTGCCGGTCCTTCAAACCCTCAACAAGCATCGGCGACTTTCTGTCCTCTAAATCCCCGTGTCCCAATCGCCCGTTTGCACCCTTTCCCCATGTGTAGACCTCGTTCTTTGATGTCAAGACAGCCACGTGGTAGGCCCCGCATGAAATCTCCTCGACACACTCCGCTGCCAACTTGTCGCCAACCAAGCAGGGCAACTTGCCATCAGATTGTGGATTCCCGAGCTGGCCATAGACCATGCTCCCCATAGCAAAGACGCGGCCCGCCGTGGTAAGCCCGAGGGTGAGGCTGTGGCCACAGGCGACCTTCTGGAAGTTGTGGTCGATGAGGGCCGGCACGCACGTGGGTTTCAGCCGAGCCTCCCTGTCCCCGTGGCCAAGCCGATTCTTGTCCCCGTCTCCCCATGTGAAGAGCTTCCCCGCACTCGGTTGGGTCGCAATCACCTCCACCACCGCAGCCGTGTGCCACACCCCGCACGCCACCGCCACCGTCCGCAGCCCCGTCAGCGACTCCACCTCCCTCGGCGACGTGGCGCTCTCCCGGTCTCCGTGGCCCAGCGCGCCAAATGTCCCGTCCCCGAACGTGAAGAGCCGACCCGCGGATGTGATGAGAGCCGTGTGCCACGGCCCGCACGTGACGGACGCCACACGGAGCCCATCGAGTGGGCCCGCCACCCGCCGAGGGATCCAGTGGCTGGCCGCCGCGCTGGGCCCATGACCTAGGAGGCCCGCGTGGTGGGTCCCATCACCCCACGTGTAGAGTTCGCCCGCGGTCGTGACGGCACACGTGTGAAACTCCCCGCATGCGACAAGGTCGACCGAGCCGCAGGAAGCGAGCGAGTCAACGGGACGGGGGTGGGCCGCATCCCGTCCGACTCCATGGCCGAGCCGGCCACCGGATTCCTCCCCCCAGCTGAAGACCTCGCCCATTCGGGTCACCAGGGCCGCGTGGCGAACGCCGCACGAGATATAATGCACGTCGAGGACAACGTTCGACTCTAAAGGGCGGGGGGAGAGGATGTCGGCCCTAGTGCTGACAGAGGTCCTGTCGGGTCCCGACTTGACGATGAGGTCACAAACGACCTCGCCCCATATATAGACATCCCCGAGAGCGTCACAGTCATCGGGGGCAGACCCGTGGCTGGAAGTGCTGGGAGCGCTCGACACGCTGACTCGAAGAGTGTCGTTGTTGTTGGATGCTTTGGCCTGCATGCTTGTTGTAGGGTCAGAAGCTGCTACATGTGACCTTTCCAGGTGGGTCGACAGGTCGGGCGAGCTGAGTCCTCGCGTGGCGCTTGCTGAGCTGCTGCTTTGGCTGCTTGACGTCAGATTTGAATTGTCCTGGAAATGATTTTTTTGTTCATGAGCTTATATTAGGAGGAGGTGAAAGGATTGGTTGAGCTTAATTTGATCCTTCGGATTAATGTGTGTTTGTGTGTGTGTGTCTAAGTGTGTGACTCACGTCAAAATAGAAGGCTCCATCACTCCATCCGTCAATTTTGGAACGCCCAGCTTGTCCAGATGATGTCAATGCTTTAAGACCAGCTATCCAGATTTCAGCCTCGACTTTGTCCTTGCAGATCTAGTAATACAAAAAGAAATGGGTAAATCCGAATTATATAAATTAAATGGAAAATGGTGGGTAGGTCGAGTAATCACCAACCAGGTCAAGGGATCTTTTCCCGTCGTCGTATATGAGAGAGAATGATAGGTACTCCTTCTCGGGACGCAGGTAACGTTGGAAAACAGCCTGGGCAAAAAGTTTGCAAATGTCATTCAAATGAAGAATCAGATAGAAAATGAACAGTAAACTCCGGATTTTCAAGCAAAATATTGGAAATCAGCAAAATCTCACTGTTCGTTGTCCAGGGATGATCCTTGAGACTGAAGCTAACTTCAAACTCCTTTCACCACTACTAGAAATCCAAATTAAAGATGTTTCGTCCTACAATTGCAGAAGAAAATGTAACGCATAAGGACCACGAGAAGTTATGAATTATGATGTTACAGGATTTTTATTCATCAACAGTATAAAAGAAAACTACATTTTGCTAATAAAAATTCAAGTCATGATAACATTCAGCCTTCTAGCTTCTGTTGTTCAAAACAGATAATTATAATAAGGCAAATTCTGATGCAATTCAGTAACTGAAACTTAAGATAATAACCTTTTTCTCTTTATCTTCTCTCACAAAAGTTAAGAAGGAAACTGAGTAATGTACACAGATCGTACCAACATATCTTTCATCCGGTATATTATATGTTAGATAGCAGATGAAGCTACTTAAAGTTCCCTCGTTTTTTTTTTCTTTTGCTCATACTGGCTTCTAAAATTCCCTCGATCTAGAATGTTTAGTGTAGACAATTTACAATTGTCTTCTTTTTAATTTGAACACTAGATATCTTAGGAGTACATAGTCTTTTGTCATAGGTTGCATGACACTATCCGGTTTCTGCCAATTAAATAGCACTGCCGGACCTATGTCGAGTTTCAATCCTGTCCACAACCAGAAACCTATTGATGTATATAGTGTTAAAAAAATGCTGTTTATTCTCTATGGCCTGTAATGGATTTGCCAGATTTCTTGGTGAAACATATCTACCTATATATACAAAATCCCTATCCTAATTCTGCGTTTAAACTTCAAGAAATAGAGAAATCACGTAATTTGAAAATGGCAAATTGGATAACACTGATGGTGAATGAAAGAGGAAACAAGAACACCCCACGAGAAAGTCATAAGATAGTCAAGTACAACTATCATAGAAGACAGTAAAAGGTGCACAGCGCAAGCAATCATAGGGCATAGAGTATATGGGTCTTACATTAGAGAGTCTGAATGGATAAACTTTTGGCTTTCCTTTGCGACCATATTTTAGTAGTTGAGCTCCTTTTTTTAGAGCAATCAAGGCCTGCAAAAAGTGGTGTACACGGCAAACATGAACTTCACAGTTCAAAGGTGAGCATTAACATACAACAGATGACTATACAACTATTAGAGAAGACAATAGGCCCACTTGAAAAGAAACATCTACGTAAAAATGCCTTCCATGAAAGCAAATATGGGGCAGTTAAGCCAGGAAATACGACCAAGCACCAACACCCCACACATTTTTTTTCTCTCTCCCAACAACCTCTATGTCAAAATATCTACAAATCTAGTAGAGACCAATTAATAAAATGTTGATCAACACGAGTCACACAATCATGGAGAACGAGAGACAGGGATTGAGGAACAGTATGACTTCTACAAGTAGGAGGTTTGTTCCCCAATGAAATTAACAATATCATGGATATTATGAGGAAAAAAACACTATGCTGGGTAAGCTGATACAGTTTGCAATTCGAATATACAAGCAACAAATCAAACTTCCTCATGGTGTGGACCAAGTCAAGTATGCTTGGATTAGAGCAACTTCAACGTTACTTCTCCATGCATACGTGTCTTTCAGGTCAATTTTGTAAGTTTAGCTAAACTGTTTGGCCTTTTGACTAGCAATTTACGAAAAATTTATTGCACCCTCTTGGGTTTCTACTGTTTATTTTGTTTCAGGATCGGAAGATACTGAGAAATAAAGCAACTCCTTATCATCAATCTTATGCAATAACCCGTTGCTTAACAGTAGAAGTCGTGATGCTGAATTTGAAGCCCAATGCTAAATGCACAATCCTACAATGTTCTGCATTGGCAAATTACTGGTGATCACCATACTAAAACTATTTAAATGGGAGACACCATAATTATTATTACTAAAATTAAATAGTTGTCAAAGCTCATCCAACAGAAGCTCCCAAATATTTTATAGTCTGAGCCCAGTGAAATTAGACAACCGGCATCGCTAAAGATAGAATGTGTGAAATTCAATTGGACCCATAGTAACAGATATTAGATATATATAGAATGTGTGAAATTCAATTGGACCCATCGAAACAGATATTAGATATATTCCCTCCAAAATCCAATTAGGGTCCCAAATTCATTCCCCAAATCTTGGAAACATATACGCACATACTAACAGGTAAAAATTCAAACAAGAATCACGCGAAAATCTAAACCAGAATTCCTAGCTAAACCAATAAACCCAGAAAAATCTAGAGGAAAACGTGCAAAACCTGCCCTAAAAATCGAGTCTTTAGAATGCAAATTGTCAAACTATCACACCTAATCAAGCGAACCAAACAGCAGACGCACCTGCTCGATGTCGCGGTCGGCATTACCGTAACTACCAAGATCTGCCATTCCATGAGACGCGCTCACCGCCGCACCAACACCACCGCCTCCACCATCCCACTCCACTCATTATCATGCCAACAACGCGCGCCCGCCGCTCGCTACCATCCACACCGCCGCCTCTCTTACCTCCTTACCCGTCCCGATTAGAAACAAAAAAGGAAAATTAAAAAAAAAAAAAAAACACAAAAAAATAAGAGATCCGATTCTCGAAATTCCACGAGTCCTCCTCCCAACAGATCTAGAAAACCTATGCGGATAAACGAAAATAGGTCCTGAAATTCGGGCTCTTTCACGAAAATATCCAAGGTCAAACAGTGGTCCTCCGTCTCACCGACCGGCGGCGATTGGCTCCGTCCGGCGACGATGAAAAGTGGTGTCTCCCGGCAGTGCCGCCTTTCTTCACCGGCAGAGGCTAGCAATTGCAGAAAATGCTGGTGCAGAGAGAGAAAGTAACGGCGGAGAGAGAGAAGTGAGAAGGGAAGGAAGGAGACAGAGAGAAGACGGAGTCAAAGATGGGG